ATACTGGGAAATTCCTTGAAGTTACTGGTTCATTATGATAGCTGTTTAAATTTCCATTGAACATATATTTGCTAAATATATTACCTAAGCAATAGCATCTGGAGATAGAAAGATAAACAAATCAGAGTCCCAGCTATGTGAGGTGCATGTAGTCTACGTTAACAGGATCTCAAAGAGCTTGAGTTATAATCAGCTATGTGAGGTGCATGTAGTCTACGTTAATAGGATCTCAAAGAGCTTGAGTTATAACGTTAGATTTAAGAGATAATGAGTAACTTTGGTGTGTGTGAGGGATGGTCTTTGTCCCAATAAAACCTGTTGAGGGTTTTAGAAAAGAGAAATAATACACAATAGTGTACTTTCCAGATGTGATGGCTTATTTTTAGTATTTTTCTGATTTTAGCTCAAATAGAAGATGTTAACCCACTCCATCTAATTAATAAATGTCCACAGCAATATACCTGAAATACTATGTTTACCTTACCATATAACCTTTCCTTTATGTGAGAAATTTCAGCTCTAATTTCTTAAGTTCCTTTCTAACATTACAAAATACTTTTAATTATAAGAATTAGACCAGAACTTTGGTCTTAATCACTGTGGCAATTCAACCAATTTCTCTTATACAAAAAGAAAGCCAGTACACTTATTGTATGTGAAAGAATTTTACCTGGTGAAAAGAAAAGAATGTTTTGATTATAGTAATTCAGTCTTTCATTAGTACTATTCAGTTTTGCTATTATTCCTCATCCCAATATTCAGACACTAATTAAGAGTTGTAATTATTACCTGTCACATGCCTAGAATATATGTCAAACAGTCAATTAAATGTCTTAAAAGTCCCTCACCCTGCTGTTTTCTATTTCTATAGTACTTATCACTGACATCTAGGTAACTCAGACATGAAGAGGGCCTAAACTAAATAGCAAATAACAGTGATTGTGGAAGGTGAATAAATATTAAGTGATGAATTTTAAAAGCATAAGCATGATAATACATATGAAAAGAACCCTGAACCCATGAAATCATTTGGGTAAAACAAAAAGCTCAGGCTTTATCTAAACCACTGATTTAATATTGGTAGCAGTTAAAGTTATAATTAAATTATTCACTCCTATTTTTATTTTTTCCTGCTGTGCTTTCTAGACACTTACACACATGCATTCCCAAGATTCCTTTTGAAGATGTAATCATAAAGACTTAACTACTCCAAGGGGCCTCTTTCTTACCTAGACATTCTTTCCCT